CCCACGTACTTAGCCAGCGGGTGGAAGAAGATGCGATAGACAATGAGGAGTATCGTCTATGCCTCTGGTTAGGCTATGTTTTCTTGACATGGGGAATTGCCTTGATAACGTACATACAGCGCCGCGGCGGCGGCGATTAGCCCAAGCCAGAACCACAGATGACTGAGGTTAGCCATTCTGCTCTGTTTCGAGATCGTGCCAGTATCAGGTTGGTTGTGGTGAATCTTATACAGTTCACGCTGTTTGTGATACCACTTTTCGTAGAGACGAAGTCCAACCCAGCTTTCGAGATAAGCAAAAAGGCAGAAAGAATTCAGACTCTCTCCGATGAGGAAATGAGAGTAAAGTCCCCGCACATCTTCCGCCATCACCTCGTCATGCCCGCACACCTTATACACATTTACCTCCCTCATCCGGGGTTCCCAGCCCCAAACAAAGCTCGGCTTACACCGGTCCAACTTCTCCAAGACGCTTCCCCAAACTTCCCCAGCCCCACGACGCTGTCACTTGCCCCATTCGGCCGCCCACGGCTATCGGCGGAACGCTCATCCATGGTCAAGTACCAGATTCTGCACATGTTTTCTGACCTCGATCCATCCCCACGATTGAAACGTGCGTATCGGCTGCCCAATCATTGCGACGACATTACCCACCGCGGGCGGCATTACGCGGAGCAGCGCGGGCCTGGAGGACTCCACGCCTGCTTTCCGCGGTGGGTCTTATGCCGGAACACTGGATTGAGGTGGGGTCACTTCTCCGCCGCCGAAGGCACCATGTGCGGGCCGACTGTTGAGTATTCGTATGGTTGCTTCCATGTTCTCATCTTGAAGTGATTAAAAAAATTTGTCCCCCATCGTTGTCCTGCTGCTTTGTTGTCGCATGGCAAGTTCTGGCGAGTTTTCGCAAGTCATGATGGCTTGTAAGACGTAAACACGCATTTGCGGACGTAGACTACATTCCTGTGTTCTAGGCGCATTATTGTTTCGGCCCCATCGTCGATTGAAGGTTTACTAAAAAATGTCTCAAGAGCAGAGGACACGGACAACAATGTTACTGGATTAGGGACAACATGACCGCACGCATGGACGTGTGCGTGTAAATTAGTTATTTGGGTGTGGTCATCATCAGTTGTCAATTCTAGCACTATTGTACATATTTCAGTTTACACAACATAGAAGAGACCATATTTTCCAACCAATGTTCGCCCCATTCCAGTCATTCAAACCTCAGTTGTTGTAGTATCTGGGCTCATCGAAAACATGGTATCTGTGATCACGGACGCCCTGGCCTCGGAACAGTGCCGGGAATCTCCAACCCACAGGCACATCGTCCTCATTGACTCGACGGTTGCGGGTCTCGTCGTCAAGAGCCTCAATCGCATTACTCTCTGCTTCAGTTGCGGGAATGACAAATTTGGCGGCCTGCAGCTCTGTATCCGTAATGGTGCTACGACTGACACGCGCGTATGCCACTCGCTTGAGACGTTTAAACAAGATGTACTCGCACCAGCGGTCCCAGTCCGACGGGTCGACATCATGCATGCCCGACACATCGCTGACATAGGTGTTGTAGTTGCCCTGGAGCGGCTTGGTGACAAGGTAACTAAGTAGGATCGCGGGGCGCGGGGTCGAGCCCATGAGTTTCGAGAGGTAAAGTGACTGCAGGCGGCGATCTTCAGGGTCTTCTTCCTGGCCCGAGTGGAAAACGAATACATCCACCTCGCGGCCGTAGACATCCAGCGTTGCATGAATTGCCGGCGCCAGCTCGCCGACAGGAGAGGGAAGCAGATGGTGCTCTGACTTGAGGATAGGGTACTTGGAAAGAAGCACCACGCCCCATGTGTGCTTGTTGGGACCTGGGCCATAGTCGACATACATGCCGAGGTCCTCCGCAAGAAACTGAGAAGTGTCGCGGTTGCCCATGATGATGCGCTGACAGTCCGTCTCAATGAGGGCCACGACATCGAGTTCCATTTCTTTGATGAGATCACGCATACGGTACTCGGATGACCACATGTCGTTGTCCAGCGCAAAATGAATCGTCCAGACGCCCGCCGTCATGACACGATCTTCTCCGTGATACGGCTCGTAATCGTTGGTTGGGAAACGCAAGAACGCAGCCGAAAGGAAGAACAGGTTGACTGCGATGGCGGCAGCCCTGTGGAACTCACGGTGCTGGAATACTGAGGCTGATGGGCGCTGGGCCTTCTTGCGGTGACTCTGGGCTGTCGTTGAGCCAAGACCCAGCACACCGAGGCCAATGAGCAGCATCATGGTCGCCATGACCCAATCGGTGTGCTCACGCACATAGGGGCCGCCCGGCACAAAGGCGTAGGCAACAACCCAGACAGAGAAGAGGACCAAAAAATTATAGAAGAGAAAACCTAGGCCAAAAGTGATGACGGGGTTCCTCTTCGCAGCACTGCTGATGATTGGTCCCGCAATGGCCATGAGATAAACCGTCAAAGCAAGCGCTCCGTAATAGCCAAACCAGTTGTGGTGGTAGGTTACAACATAAGCACCGGCGCAGCCAGCACTATATGCAGCCCAACTCGTGACCAAAGAAGGGCGAGACTGACCAAATAGCACACCAGCTGTCATAGCAACACCCGTCAGCCAACCATATGTGTTAGCAGTCGGTCCACGAATAGGGTAGCCCTCCCAAACCCAGAGAATCATGGTGCTGCTGTCGGAAAGGAGCCAGTGCATGCCAAAGAAGACACCACCAGTGCCGAAAGCTGCTAACAAAGATGACCCACTGCGCTGGGGGTCAGAGGCAGATTGGCCGCTTGTTAGCGGCGCCTTGCGGGTGAAGCGGAGGGCGGCTAACGTAGCAAGGATACCTCCAATGCCATTCCAGCCTCCATTGGCAGCGTGCATGATTGGCCAGACAGGGTTGTTGGTCCACCAGGCAAACTTGATGGCGGAAGACAGGACCAGACCGATAGTAAGAGCCAGGAGTTTTGACTCAAGTCTTCCTTCATGGACAGACTCCGCATAAAAGGTGGTGGCCCAGCCCAAACAGGCCATTGAGACACCGAAAGAGACGGCAAAGAGGCGATAGACTGGGGACTCGACCTTGTAGGCCACGATGGCTGACAAGGAAAGCAGGTGAACGATGCGCTGGTTGGCAACGACCATTCGGCGAAGAGGACCAATGGATAGCAGGAGTGGCGAAACAGAAGCCATGACGACCACTTCGTAACCGGAGAGGCCCATGTACCACAAGGGGAAGTACCAAACGGACACACCCAGGCTGGTAAGGATGGTCCAAAAGATGTAGCCATGATACACCTCCGCAACGGTGTCGATAGCTTCCGTCCAAGTGAATTTAACGGACAAGATGCCGGCAGAAGCCTTCTCTTTCCTAATTGTTGGTCATTAGCGGAGTGCCACAGTGACAAAGGTCCAGCGGATGTCGACCGACTTACTCCTTCTCGAGGACTGCTGAGGGAACAGAGGACCGGTTTTCACTAGAACCAAAACTTAGAATCCAGTCCTATCGCGTTTTATTTCTTTGAAAATGTACGATAGGTACAATGTTATTTCGGAAGCCAATGCACGTACCCCTTGCTCGCGCCCTGAACGTCCTTGATGATCACTTGGAATGTTCTAAAGTCGTAAGCCGTCACAGCGTCGAAGGCGACATCGAAAAGAATGAGCGACCATTCGAAGAAAGCGTAGGTCGTATAGGCTGCGTTGGTCAGCACAGTGGCACGTGCAGTATTTCGGCCAACTCACCTCCGGGCACTCGGTGGACCTTGTGCTGAATGAAGAAGTAGATGAGAGGCACGAGTGTGCCAAAGAAAGAACTAGCAATGATCTTCCTGTAACGGATTGCCTTGGGATTGGATGGGCTAAGGGTAATACAGCCAATAGTCCACGGCACAGTCGCAACGATGTAGGAAATCATAAAGATATCATGCCATTGGTGGTCGTCAGTCGAAGTGACGTAGGTGAAGCCACCGCAGGTTAGTGTTCGGAAGATGCCCATCGCAAAGATGAACTTTGGCAATGTTTGGCCAGGCTTTCTGGTGAGAAGGTACCATAACCCGACAAGGGCAAACCGAGGGCCTGAGGTGATAGCGATGAAGAGCATAAAGAAAGACCGTTCGGGATATTTGTCGCCAATGGTTGCGGAGACGGAGGGGAACCATTCTTCGGGGTACCCGTACCACTCATTCTGGACGATCTTCTTGTAGTGGAGAGAGACACCGACGATAAATGCGCTGATGAAGGCAGCTAACATGCGGTCAGTGATGCATCAGTTGATGCGGAGAGCTGGCCACCAGAGCCGGAGGGCACATACTGTAGGCGACGGTGGTATGCAACCAGCTCACCCACTGGCCACCGAAAGCCAGCACGACACCTCCGTCCTTATCCTTGTGCCTCGACGACATTTCGACAGGATTAAAAGCAACAACAGAGGTTGTTAAACAGCATCCGAACAATCCGGATGCGAAGAAAACGGGGGCGGACGCCGTGGCCGACCAAAAGAGCGTTGGGAATACGGAGGCGGCAGATGGGAAAGAGAAGTGAAGCGCGGATCGCGTGTCGTGTCGTGTTCGGCTATGTTCGTCTTGCTTGTGACTACCTACCTAGGTAGGTAGGTAGGTACCTACTTCAGGTACCTGGCCTTACAGCCAATTCGAGCGATCAATTCCTGGACGGCTTCAGCCTCCATCCTCTTCTGGACTAGCTCACTGATAAGATTTGTTATCTCAAGTTCCCACTTTAACTTCGATGGCGGCCGCCGAACTTTTTCAATTGCGGAAGGTTGGTAAAACCGCTTGCCTCACGTACTTGACCGACTTGACAGCTTACGACGTTTAGTCGATCAAGATCAAGATGGCGGGTGTTGCAGAGAAAGCTCGATTCTACTTGGAGAGGTCAGTTCCTCAGTTGCGAGAATGGGAGGCGAAGGAAATCTTCACCAAGGTAGACATAACCCCCCACCACTTTTCTTCAGCCACCACGAGCTCTGACACATTACAGGAAGAAATTCGCAACATTGTACAGCGTCGCAGCGATTTTGAGCACCGGGCGCTTGCACCGGGCGTTCAACCTACCGACTTCACGAACTATGTCGCTTGGGAAATTTCACTTGACGCCCTGCGAGTGAAGCGCTGCGAACGCCTCAAGATTCGTCACGTCGCTTCGCAGCATGCCACTCAGGCTCGGGTTCTAGCTATTTACGAGCGAGCCGTCACGAAACGCCCTGCATCAAAGGAGTTGTGGCTCGATTATCTAACCTACACTGAACGAATCAGGGCTACCAAGAGGTGGAGGAGGACTATGACCCGTGCCCTGAGACTTATGCCACGCGATGCAGAGCTCTGGGTGCTCGCAGGACGCAGGGCCGCAAAGAACGGCGATATGGGTACTGCGAGGGGATATTTCATGCGCGGCTGCCGATTCTGCACTGTAGATGGCGGACTGTGGATCGAGTACGCTCGGTGCGAGATGGAGTGGCTGGCCAAGATGGAGCGTAACCGCAAAGACAGCAAGAAGGGGGGGAGGGTTGGTCCCTTGGCGGGCGAGCAAGTTGCAGAAGGCGACGCCATCATGTTCAACGTTGGAGAAGACGACTTGAACGATGAAGATGAAGGCACAGCCATCATGCCAGAGCCGGAGGCTGAAGAGCCCGTTTTTGATGAAAAACCGCCAGTACGCTGGAGCGCAACCCAGCCATGGATGGTGCGATACCAATGGCTATTTTCAACATTGCAAGGAAACAACCGTTCTTCAACGACGCAACCGCCGAGCTTTTCTTCGACCTGTTCGCCGTCTTCACCAAGGTGTCGGCGCAATCCGTGCTCATCCAACATGTGCTGGCAGTCATGCAAGAGGACCACCAGACAGCGGCTTCAACATGGGGCTGCTACACGCGCTTTCCGCTGGTGGGCATCAATCCTTACACGGCCGACTTTCCCCGCGGTCTTCGAGAAGCCTTGTCCCGACTCAAGGTCGGTTTGGAAGCAACATCAGAGTCTACCATGTTGAAGACGAAAACAATTGCGTGGATAGAGCCCATTCTTGCTTTGGAAAATTTGGACGCAGGTATTCGGGTGGTCTTGGAGCATACTAAGGCGAAGTTGCTTGCATAGCATAATCATCATTGAAGCTTGCCTGTTATAGTATTTTACAGGCAGATCTGGTCTGGTGTGCCTCATTACTCGCCGTGGCTTTTCCAGCTACCGAACATTTCATTTGTCTCATCATGGCTGTGGTGATGACGGAAAAGATTGTGCCGATATCCTCTCCGGGGACTGGTGCCAGACTTGTTGAGGATTCAAAAGACGATGTTCGTGCCTGTCAATGCTTGACGTGGTTGCCCTCGCTGAGCCAGGGCCCTATAAGGAAGGCTCCTTCGCATCCTTCAAATTTTGGGCAGCATCAATGGCCAGTATGGCATCCCAAGCATCCTGGCCTATGGTGCTGACAACCATTTGGGGCTGCTTCAGTACCTGCATGCTGTCAAAGATGTGCTCGTGTTCGGCACTGCGGATGCGCCCGAGCCTGACTGGGCTGTTAAATTTACGCTCAAGTGTAACGTGAATACAGATAAAATCAAGCTTGTCGATGTCGACGTTGCGGGCGTAGCAGTTTCCTTGACGGATGTCGTAGTATGGTGAATCCTGGTCACATGCTGAATCTGAAATGGTCAAGTCAGCCGAAAGTCATTCTGGCAGGGCCGTGACTTGGTGTCGCAGACTTACATTCAGGGCTCTTCTCTCTGGAAATGGTGACAATGCCAACAATGGAAGGGCTGCCCAAGACCGCGTGTAAGACGAGGACTCTGTCACCTACCTTCATCTGACGCATCAAACTTTGAGAGGGGTACGACCGAATACCTGCAGACAACTGCCGTCAGCTCAGCCACAGACAGTTGGTGAGGAAACGAGAGTCTTCGACTAAGTACAGACCTTCGACGGCAAGCGGCTCATTCCCGCAGTCATCAATCGAGAAGCCGGCACGTCTGCCCTCAATAGTGCGATGCGGGCAAGCCTTGAGAACCCAGAGAAGACATTTTCCAACCTTGCGCTCAATGTTTACGCCGTTGTCCCAGAGAAACGCTCTATCAGCCTTGTTGAATTCTTTCTTCAAAGACTTTCTGCCTGTAGCAGAAGCGGCCATGTTGCTCGGCATATTCTAGAAGCTGCGTCCACGTGTCGGTCTGTTGGCGTGGCTGGCAGTCAGAAGGTTGCTGTAACTTCTTTCGCGGGCCATGAAGTACGGAAAGTGAGCCTTGGCGCGTCTCTGACGGATATGGCGGGCGAAATAATGAAATCTCTTCGATGGGTTGGAGCGGGGCTGCTTGGAAGATTATCACATAGCAAGAGAAAGGTTCAATGAGTTTTGTGTACTTCGTTGTTCTTTCTTTTATTTGAGGCTGGAAGTTCAAGTCGTAGCGGGCCGGATGCCTGGCTAGGTACTTAGGGAGTTGTAGACGCGACGCATGAACGGCAACCATCATTTATCGAATTGGCAAGTCATCGGTGATTGGAGATAGTATGTATATGCGATAGCACAGCAAATCAGCCCTCTGCTTTGGTCGTTTATGGAGGCTGTTGGGAAAGCTCTATCAGTACATCCCAGGTAAGTGCGGTCAAAAGCGCAGAAGACGTTTGCAACAGTACTAAGGACCACTTGAATGAGTGATCTCAAAGGTGTATTCCTTATGGATGGAAAGAGAGACGGGGTAGGACCAGGCGAGAGGAGTTCCTTGAGATAGAGCCCTACAATCAAGCGGACCTGCAAGTATCGAATAAAAGAACAGCCGTGCCCATGACAGGTCATAGTAGCCACCGAAATTTCAAATCAACTGGCCTACAGTAAGCGAGCCGTATCACCTTGGCCGGGTGCTGTGTACGAGAGAAAGCATCATGAGAACTCGGATACACAAGCCAAGAAACTTTCCAAGAAGGTGCTCAATTTTCCAAGGTAATCCCGCCAACCCACTTCAAGGCGATGCATTGCCTTATGAGACAATCAACTTGACCCGGAGGAAACTAGGACACGCAACAATCGGAGCTTGCAATATGTCAATAAATCTCAAAGGACGCCTCATACAAGTTACTTCCATCAATTTGTGGCTGCCAGGGTGATGCTGTACCTGACGGCAAGCATGAAGTTATTCCGGGTGCTTTGACCGGCGAAACAGCCGGAAATGGTGACCCTGACATAGCGATCACGAAGAAGCTGACCATCAGTTCTTGCAACTAACATACAGCTGCGGCTCAGAAGCTGTTGACAGTCAGGAGTCTGCTTGTTTCAGTGGTTGTATGCTATCTCACCTCAGTAATCAGTGTTAGTATATGTAGATGTATGTCCCGTATATCAGCCAGGCAGCCTGTCAATATGTGTGATTGGGTGAGCTGACATGGACGTCGAATTTCATGATGGCCCCTGCACGTATCCAAGTATACACAAGCTCGCTTGAAAGGCGTTGCAGTTCACGCTCCATAGATGCAGCACGATAATGGGTAAAGAAGGAAGGCAAGTTGTGGTTGTAAGGTACAGTACTGCCTCCCTCCCTTTTCAGCATGGTTCTTAGGTACCTTACCTATCTCGTTGACCATCGTCGTGTCTGTACGAGGCCCACCCCAAACCCATAGACTGAGCCGGGAGACGCAATGCGTTAGCCGCTCCACAGCTCTCACAGCTGATTGGTCCACAAGCCCCCGTGCTATCCACATGTACCAATCCTCTTTTGGACTGATGCGGCCTGAAACCGCCTACATAGGTACCTACCTTAAGGTGCCTTACCTTGCCTTGTACCGACCTTACCTAGGTAAGGTAAGGTAGGTAAGGTAAGGTAGGTAAGGTAAGGTAGGTAGGTAGGCAAGTAGGTGCCTTGAGGAAGGGCGACACGAAAAGCCCTCCCTGCTGCCTGGCTTGATCCTGCGTCCATCCCCCTACGTGCTTCATTCCGTTCGAGTCAACGCGTGGAGGCCTCAGGCATCGACCACACGGGCAATCAGGAAGACTGGCACAAGTACCAAGCTTTTCAGGTGTTGTTCATCAGTCGTCCTCGCCGTTGCCTATTTGCGCGCCCATCATCCACCCATTTCTGTCGCTCTTGCGCTCCAGAGTCCACCTGTTGAGGTAAGCTATTGCCCCGACACGCGACCTTTGCTCGTCGTTGTCATCTGTCGCGTCCATCACACACCCTCCGAATCCATCCAATCTCGCAGTGTCCCTATCTCCCCCAGCCCGATACGATCCATTGCCCTGCTCATCATTCTGCTATTCCTTTCCTCGTGGCCCTCTTCGTCTGCTCTGAAGCCATCGCGACATTGTTCTCGACGTGGTCGGTGCCAGTTTTTTTTGTCATCACTCCGCTATCATCTGACTAGCCACGGGCCTACGCTCTTTTTTTCTTCACACAACCAAAGCCCCCTCCCTGGCCAGACTGGAACCGAAAAGCACCCACCTGTTTTCCCACACCCACACTCGTCCACCCCCCGACCTGACCCCCAAGCATCGCGTCGCGTCCATCGCGACCGCCCACCTCCGTGCGACTTCCATCATTTCAATCGTCGCCTTTCATCGCTTCCATCCCATTCGCATCCTGGTTTTCCATTTTCGCTCTGCTGACTGCCGAAGACGTCCCCAGCTGCCAATGGGTTGCTTAGCATCAGCCTTACTCTGAGCGCCTGTATCAACGACGCTGCCTCCACCAACCATAACCTCCACAACGATCCCAAGGCCGATGGCCATATCGTCGGCGCAGGCCATCCTCGCATGAACCATCCAAGCGCCAATCCCTCTTCTGCCACGATGGATCCATCCGCCTTTATGGGCAATCCTGCCCAATTTAATCCCTCGCAATTTGCCAGCGCCCAGCAGCAACAGCAGCATCAGCAACAGCAGCAGCAGCTGGTCGCCATGCAGAACGGACAACTGCGCAATGCCTCTCCCTCTTTCCAGAACCCTGCCTATCAAACCAATCCCGTTGTTCCGTCAAAGCGACCTCGCCCTCGCGAAGACAGCCTTGCTGGGTCGCCGCGACAAAACCCAGGCATGCTGCCGACTTCGCGCTCTGATACTCCCCAGCAATTTCCCGGGTACCAGTCTGGTGGCATGCCGCAACAGCACCAACAGCAGAACCCTGGCCAGCCGCAGCCATCGCCTTATAACCATCTGCAGCCAAATGGTTCCGCTAATGCGACGCCGTCGCCCATTATGGGCAGCAACATGCGCCCTGGAAGCGTCCCACAGCGAGTCGCGACTGCGTCGCCGCATCCCTTTTCTCCCAGCACTCAACAGCAATTTGGGCCACAAGCATCTCCGGTACCATCCGAACACAGCAGCACACCACAACCAAACCCCTATTTGCAGAACATGCAGAATATGCCGCCTGGCTTCAATCAGAACTTCACGCCAACACCTTCACCTGCGCGTCCTTCGCCGAACCCTACTGCTATGACTGGAATGATGCAGCAGCAGCAACATCAGCAGCAACAGCAACAACAGCAGCAGATGGGCGGCCAGATGCCGCAGCAGATGGGACAGATACCGAATCAGATGTTCCCCCCTAATTTGCAAGGACGTAATCCCATGGAACAACAAAAGATGGCTGCGTACCAAGCTAGATTACAACAACAGCTTCAAGCGCAGGGAAACATGCAGAACATGCACCCCTGGCATGCAGCAGAACATACAAATGGCAGCCCAAATCCAGGCTCAAAACCTGTCTCAGGGAAGAGGCATGGTCCCGAAGCAACAGATGCAGCCCATGCCTAATGGACAGATGCCGCAAGGGGGCACACGGCCTCAATCACGACAGCCCATGGGTCAGGATCAGTTCATGAAGAGCTTATCCAAGTTCATGCATTCAAAAGGCTTACCCCTGGAGACAAATGTCGTCATTGGGAACCGGCCAGTTAATTTAATGCACCTTTTCCAGGCTGTTCAGAGTAAGGGTGGTTATAAGTCCACCACTGCCTCCAACCAATGGCCACATGTATCCAACGCTATCGGATTCCATCCTGTTCAGATACCGCAAGCGCCGTCCATGCTCAAAGATATGTACGAAAGGAACATCCTGCGGTTCGAAGAATTTTGGACTGCTCAGCAGAACCAGCAGCGGATGATGCAGCAGCAGCAGGGTAGACAAACCCAACCGGCCCCTAGTGGCCAACCACAACCCTCGCCCGCGAAGCAAATGTCGCCGCAAGCTCAGGTTTCGCAAGGCATGATGCAGGCTGGACAGCCGCAAGCCCCGCAGGCTCCGCAGCAGCCAGTAGCTCAGCATCAGCAGCAGCAGCATCAGCAACCGAACCCCCAGTCGCAACACCAACAGCAACATGCGCAGCAACACCAACAGCAGCCGCAAGTTTCACAATCACCACTGCCGCAACAGCAGCAGCCGCAGCAACATACTCCGCAACTACAGCAACAACCTCAACAACCAAAACCACCCCACATAAGCTCCATGCAAGGTCAGGCGCAGCTCAAACAACCACCTTTCGTCGGCCCACAGGGTACGAACGGGAGCACTGCACACCAAGGCCAGGCACAGCTGGGCCTTGCAACTAGCACGCCGGGACAACATCGGAACAGTCTCCCGAGAGGCGTTGAGCCGGTCGTGAGCGCAGGCCAATTGAACGCACCTGGGCCTTTCCCAGCTGCGACGCATGCGCATGCCGAACAGATCCCTTCTCTACCTACACAGTCCGACGCACTTGCTGGACCTTCGCGCTCTTCTGGCAAGACGAATTTTGCCAAAGCTTGTGCGTCTTGCGGCTGCTTCAGATGCATACCCCTGTGATGTTCGGCTCCCTCAGCCTGATGCATTTGGAGGCTTCAAGCTGGCCCAAGTCGATATAAAAGGCATGATGATTGAACAGTTCAAGCCTGATGTTCCAGGCGTATGGGAGCTGGGCATGGTCGATCTCCAAGCCTTGACGCGCAGTATCGAGTCGGGAATTCATGGTGAGGTGCGCATGGCGCTCGACACGCTTGCTACCGTTACACAAACTCCACCGAAAGACTCAAAAGACCCCCTCTTTATTCAGTTGAAGTCGTGTGAGGAGCTTGTTGAAGCACTTGTTGAATGCGCCGAGGAGCAGCTGGAACAACTTGCAGAGAACACAGTCGAAGTATCTGACGACATACAGTTGGCGGCATACGAAGACATTGCGCGAGCCTGTTGGGTTGATCGACTAAGCGTTCGCAAACTTCCCGAATTTGCCACCCCGGAGTACGAGCTTGACAGAGCCGTAGACCGATTGACGTGTATTTTCACAATCCTACGAAATCTCTCATTCGAACCAGAAGCTGAGCCTACGCGCACATCCCCACAGCTGCCGTTTGGTCCGCATCATAATCATCAAGTCTTGGCAGACGAGTCTGTCATTAAACTCGTCTGTGACATGATACGCTATCTCGGCACCCGGAACATGCTGCTTCGAACGCATGCCAACACGTTGGAATTCATGAAGGACGCAATTACTCTTTTATCCAACATTGCAGGTGCAGTGGAAATTCCAGGGCGCGAGCAAGCGCTCTGCTTGCTGCATTTCTTGCTTGCTTTCGCACCTGGACCAGGGCCATCGATCCGTGACGATCGACTATATTTCCCCCCCTTCGAACCTGCTCTCCAACCATATCTCTTCCATGCTGTCGACGCTCTAGCCAAGTTCCTCGCCCGCGATGAGCCTAACCGTACATTTTACAAGACTATATTCGCTCTGGACGCTGGAAGTACGACACCCTATGAGCTTTTGACCAAGACGTTCGCTCTGGCGATCTCAGTAGTTCCTATTCAATTATCCGAGGGTCAACTGAACCGAGCGGTCATGTCGCCTAAGCTGCGCATTTCTATCGAGAACCGCGCGCCATTGCTCATGCAGGGTCTGTTGGCTGCAGGGATCCTGGCATCTCTGGCACCAAGCTACGAGAGCGGTGTCGCCAGAGCCTGGCTATCCAACGGGGATGGCTTTGCAGAGGCGTTGTACTTCCTTGTCCAAGTCCTCAGTCATCAGTACGAACAATCCAGTGCCGGCCGTGACCAGGACTTTCCCTACATAGTGGCACTCAGCGTGTCTCTCTTGCGAAAACTGGGCGAACGCGCCTTCGACCCAACCGATCCTTCAGCACTCCCGGCCAACGCTCTGCCCTCAGCCGAAAGCGTTTTTGGCATCATGTCAATGAAGTCATCGGAATGGGCACGGGACGGGATTATCCGGGACCTGACTGCGTATGCCGACCTGCATCGATAAGCCAAGGTGTTATGGACCAATTAATGTCTCCTACATGGCGCAGCACTGGCACAGATGGGGTTTGCGAAAGCCGAGGGCGAAACAGAATTGGAGAAGAAGTAAAAAGGCGCGGGTGTACATCAATTGTGGTGCGAATCATACCTGGCTGACCCAGGTTGTATCTTGTATCTCTTGTTGTAAGTTGTTAAAGCGAGTTGTAGGACGACGGCGCAACGGTTTGTGCACGGGCTCTTTTCTACAGCAGAACCAGCAAGGGCCGGACTTAGATAGAAAATACCCTTGGAGTGCTTCATGTCATCTACCATCACGTTACATGCACATCTTGCTCCCATCCTGTTCCAAACCTGTTCCCATTTGATGTACAGTCTACAATTATCTGATCGTACAACCCCGAAGATTGATGTCTCTGCAGGTATAATCTTATGTCCAGACCCCAATCTCTTCCCGTTCAAGATTTATAACCGGTAAAAGTGTGGTGTGTTCACTTCTCCACATGCTTAACCCTCATTCTGTTAAGGCGATGGCACCTCAACACTTATGGTGGGCTTATGAGGATCACCAAATTCGTCAGCAAGCCACTTCTTTACTTCCGTGACATGTAGACCCTGCTGTTGTCAGTCTCGGCTATGCCTTCAGTGCTGAGAACTATAACGCACTTTAATTTGAACATGGTCCGTCACAGGCGATATCGTGATATTCTCCCTCGGAAGACCTGTGGCATTGGCAAGGTCCTGTGCAAATGCACGTTTGTCACCCGCAATGCGCTTAATGACCGTAAACTTGGATTGCCCAGCAGATTTGGTGCGGGGATACACAGGGTAGTTCTTGGATGGGGTAAGGTCGACAAGGTAGGCTCGTTTAGAGGTTCTCGTGGATTCGGTGGCGTTCCGGACTATGGTTGAACCTGTCATAGGCTTTGAGGGAGGGATCGCGGTCTCGACGGCAATGGAGGTTGACGATTCATGAACCGTGGTGACAAAGCGGACGAAGAAGGCGGACCGGGAAGGAGAGATGGCTGGGGAGCGGGCTCGGAGTGCCCTGGCGATGAAGGCGCTCATGGTGACGGGGGAGGGATGCCGTAGCCCGGGTACTGAAAGATTGCAGACGACGGGATCTAGGTTCAACTCGTTGAGGCCGATCTCAGAAGTTTCTCTATGCTGGACAGCGCCGGTTGAACACCGGCAAACAAGATTATGTTTCCTTTCCCCAAGGGGCCGCTTAACTAAGTACCTACCTTACTTTAGTACCAGACTGTACCTGTTACTCCACTTTAAAATTAACAGAGCCCGGAGAAACACCGGCACGCAGTCAAACCCCCACCAATATTGCGTTTGGCAAAAAAAGGCCCAAAACTCAGTCTCTGCCCCTCCTACGACGACGACGCCAGTAAGATCGCCCTCTGTCTACTCCAAGCGACGACCGTCACCGACGCTGTTCCCCTCCTTCCGATCGATAAGATTCTTCTCAAAGGACGAAAGACTTACCGCCGTTCCCGAACCCACGTATATCGGCCCAACATGGAGGATATTTATGCAGCCCTCGATGGCGAGAACATCCTTCCCAAGCTTGCCTCGCAGCTCAGCAGACATTTGCTGTTTCCACTCGTCGAATTCGAGGCAGGTAGAGCTGAGGACAACGGAAACGAGGAGAAGGCTAGGCAGATCTTGAACGGCAAGCTCAAGCTGCTGCAGGACACCAACATGGCTGACTACGTCGCCGAACTCTACAAAGAAGTGCACAATGTGAACGAGGCGCCTGCCGAGTACGCCAAGAAGCGCAACGATGTCATTGCCCAGCTGGAGAAGTACGAGCAAGAGACGGCCCGCATCTCGGAACTCCTGACACGCGAGGATGTCGTGGGACAGCTGCGCAGCGACAAGGTGGCCAACTTGGAGTTCTTGAAAAAGGACCACGAGGTGCGTCTGTGAAGCAATCTGACGAAAATTAACAAATACTTATACTCCTTATTTAGGTTACTATTGAGATGGTCGATTCTTTGTACGACTTTGGTCAATTTCAATTCCGTTGCGGCAACTATGGCGCTGCCGCAGACCTGCTCTATCAGTTCCGAGTTCTCTCCACCGATAACGACAAGGTGGCACAGGCGACATGGGGAAAACTGGCATCCGAGATTCTAACGACGAACTGGGACTCGGCTGTTGAAGAGTTGATGAAAGTCAAAGAGAGCATCGACACAAAACTCTTCAGCAACCCCCGCGCTCAGCTTGATCACCGCACCATGCTAGTTCACTGGGCTCTCTTCCCCCTCTTTAACTCTGAAGCCGCGCGCGAGCCCATTCTCGACCTCTTCTTCACTGCCCCTTTCATCAACACAATTCAAACGTCGTGTCCCTGGATTCTGCGATACCTGATTGCCGCCGTTATCACCGGTCGCTCCCGTAGCCGCAACTCGAGCCAGCACCAGAAGCAGATGAAGGATGTCGTCCGCTATGTCCGGCAGGAAGCCTACGAGTACAGCGACCCTATCACCGAATTTATCTCGGCTCTCTACATTGCCCACGATTTCAACGCCGCTCGCGAAGCCCTCGCTCGTGCGGAGGAGGTCTGCCGAGGTGACTTCTTCCTCGGCGCGACAGCGGATGCCTTTGTCGACGCTGCGCGCCACCTCATCTGCGAGAGCTATTGCAAGATCTTTAGCCGGATGAACATCCGCGACCTCTCTGCCAAGCTTGGCCTCAACCCCGATGATGGCGAGAAGTGGATCGTCAATCTCATCCGCGAAACCCGCCTGGATGCCAAGATCGACTCGCGCGAGGGTACTGTCGTCATGAACCACCCGCCTAACAACGTTTACCAACAGGTTATCGAAAAGACGAAGGGTGGGTTCTTCCGGACGCAGGTACTCAACGCCGCTGTGTCCAAGTCGTGAACGATGATTTCTCCACTAGCATCACATCATTACAATGTGTGCCACGGGGCGCGCGCCGCTGTCACGAGACTACCATTGTCGAGACTACCATGTCGTGGAGCCCTCAGCCAGCGTGCGCGAGCATACTTTCATCCGGATGCTCTAAAGCGGCGTCCGACAACAGGGCGAATGACGAATTAAAAGTGGAGGCAGCGGAGAAGGGAGGCAAGCCTAAAATGACTTGCTTACATCACATGGCATGGCGTTCGGGTACGAAAGGGACGGCGGGCGGATGACGGTCAGGATCAGTCACCTACATGGGTAAGGTAAGGGCATGCTGAGCATAGATGATCAGTTCCCTGCCCATTGGCTAGGTCGTTGCGCGTACGCGCGCATGGCCAGGTACGTCTTATCTCTCACTTGCCCCGCCGGCTTTTGTTTTGAGTTGTAGAAATGGAATGATTTAATACCATGACAACGCGTCGTGCAAGGTGCGTTTGATCATGAGTTTCAAGTGATGTGAAGCAAGTAGAATCTTGCTCCTAGCTTATCATAAGTATTCCTCGCGCGCCATTGTGAAGGAGTGGCGAAATTGGGGATTTCATTCTGCCCAAACTCCGGCGGTGAGTGTTAGACCTCTACGTTTACCCTCACAGCAAGAAAAACCTGTCCCTTGAGAGCCTCAATAACGCTGTTCCGTATCCACCAGCCTTCACCTTCCTCCTTAGCCTCCTCCTTGCCTTCAAATTCCTCCTGCCGCTGCCCTGGCTTCTGCAACCCATTGGCTACAGCAGGAGCGACCTTCCGGGTTTCCACTCGATCTCGAACATCCGCCCATCTGAATAAGAGCTTGAGGCCTTGCAATCTCTCCCGTGAAAAGCTTTTGGCACTTTGTTCCAGAACGAGGCGTGTATCAACAGCAGAAGTAACGGTCAAGCTCCCATCCATAGCAGCATTACCACCTAGCACAAGTTCCTGCTCAGCATGAGAGAGACCTTGCAATGCTTCGCCGCGAAATATCCACACCAAAGGGTCGTGTTGGCCCCCGCCGTGCGTGGGCGTCCGCCAGAGAGCTGCGCCCCAGCGCACGGAGCGTAGCAGAGAAAGGAGCCTCGAGAGGGGGACGTCTCTTGAGGAATAAGCTTGGATTCTTGGCCATTGTTGTCAGAAGCGTGGCATCGCTTTTCAAGTCCAGTTCCACATCCCAAAAGTCAGGGCCAGCATGAGTGCGAAGAGAAGCGATATCTGACAGTGGTGGTAATAGACAGGGGGTGGTACGAATTAGAACGTTGTGGTCCGGATTTAATGATGACGAGTGAGCCGCGGGATATCTCATGCGTATATGGACAGGGACGCTGATAGGCTGCCCTGTTGCGACATCTTTGGCCACTAGACATCTCGGGTCGGTTGCGAGGACCCAGAAGTGACGGAAAGCTTGCAAATGCGCGCGGTTGTCCATCACCGATATTGGAAGCACTGGATAGAAAGCTACCAATAGACAACCGACGGCAAGATCGCTGGTACCGAACGTTGTTGTCCCACAACCAAGAAACAGTGCTCCAATAGCAAGGTGTGCTGCCAGATGCGAGCCATAAGGGGTGCTGGAGTCATTACGACCATGTAAAGATCGTAAGCGTCGCAGCACAACTAAGTCACCTGTACCAGCCATGACGATGGATGCCGATAGGGCGAGGATATCTTGGCACATACGTGCGTTTGAGCGTGCAAGCTCCTCATCGTAAATTGGCCGATCAAATTGTGGAACTCGTTTCGTAGAAACAATACGTGAGACACGCATGAACTGATCGAGGTAGTGAATGAGGATATCGCGAGCTTTCAGCGAGCCACTTCCGGCGAACCGCAATGCTAGAGAGAAGCATAGACCTGCGAGGATGCTGAAAAAAGGAAGATCAGTGCTCTTCAAGATTATAGTGCCAGTCAGTCCATGGCGGAAGCGGAATGGCGTGGGCAAACTTTGCGCGATCCACTCGAATGAAGGCTCGATCTGACTCCAAAGAATCAAATTCTTTGCAACAGTACGCAAGAGAAGGATATCTGGACGAATGTAGTCGAATTGCAGGACCGATTCCGGCACATCGATCTTACGCGCCACGATGTGGTCCTCCGACTTCATGAAGATAAGAGCGAGAGCCATGACTGCGCCTGCAGCAGCACGATCCAAAATTTGCACCATCTCAACCTTCTTGTTCGCCGTTGCAATGCCGATGAGCTTTTCGGTAAGTCTCATATCATGGAGCCCCTTGAGGTCTTTGCCTTTGCCGAGGTTGATGAATCCAAGCGAAAACCCAGCAGCGAGGCGGTAACACTCACTCCTCAGTGGCTCAGGGCTTTCGTCCTCACCAACATGCTCGATCTCGGACATCATGATCTCGCTCATCCGCCGATGTTGACTACCGCAATAGAGGAGACCGATGCCCATGATGCCAGTCGTCTGGGTTAAGGGCGAGATGTTCAGCTCAGCTGCTCCACGTGGAAGCATACGCGTGACATGTACCGACAGGAGACGTGTGATGAGAGAGTCCATAGTACCTAGGTACGATGCAGCAAGTCCGAGAAGCAGCCCAATCGAGGTCATGGTATGCTTTGGTGTCAAATACTTGAAAGCGACCCATTTCGCAACGTCTTTGAGGTGACCATTCAGACCAAGAGCTAATAAAAACCCTGCATGGCGATTGTTGAGATCCTGACCTGGTTTGTTGAATAAAATCCATGATGTATCGATGCCTTTAGCCTGTGAGGATATAGCTAAGCCGGCGGCCACCCCTTGGTGAAAGAAGCCCCAGCAGACCTTTTCCTCTGTGAACTGCGATCTGTCTACGCCCACAGTGACATTCGTTGGACGCACGATACAATTGAGGTTGAAGCCTCCGATATGGAATTTTTGTGTCAACAAGGGATGTCGTAGACCATAGTAAAGAAGGGCACGACCAGCTGGAATTGCCAATGTGCCTGTAGCAACCCTCGAGACCAGCTCTTTCTGCTTCTCGAGATACTGACTTTCGGTCCAACCAGGCTCAGGGTCTAGGTGAACGATACGTGGTCTGTGCGTGGACAGGAGGTCCTGCGCCTCGTTGAGGCGTCTGTCCTCCTTGAACAAAGCCCTGATGACTGCTTGTCTCTCAGTACCCTCGCCATCATCATAGCCGGCAGAGTTGAACTCATTAAGAGTTTGGCAAATGGTCCGGAAATCCCAGGAGGCGATGTGAATGGGGGCCTGCGGAGGGTTAGCAAAACCAGCAAGGCTTGAGGGCTGGAAAGAACGAACAATAATGTTGAACGGCCGTTGTCGGAGCTTCATGCTAGGTTCGTACATTAGTGTGATATCGCTGCGACCCACCAGCTTCAGCATGTCCTTCGACCATGAGGACGGAGGTCGTGCCTGGCAGTTGGCCATAGCGTCACGTAGGGGCGTCAAAATGGCCTCCGGTAGCGTTTCCAACATGCGGACATCAATTCCCGAGCTATACATGGCCTCAACAAGCCCAACCGCATCGTTTCTCGCGCGAAGCTTGGAGAAAAACCTCTTGAACATATGGGTTCTCGGTGTCATCAAGCCCCACCGTGTATCCGTCGGAGATTGCCGACTAGAGTCTGGCACCCCTTTTTGACGTGCAAAAGCTAGTGTCAGGAAATCTGTCCTGTCACCGCCAGTGAGGTTGGTGCTAATCCATTCGATAACATCATAGGACTTGCCCATAGACTGCGGCGGTGGTATCTCGATAGTGAGAACTGATAAGTTAGCAATAGTCAAGCATGGCAATTACAAAGACGTACCGTTGTCATATCGATTTTCTAGTTCCTCTTGAAGACCCATCTCGTAATAGGAGGCAAATTCGTGCCACCTCAGCCAGCGTGCAATCTGCGCCATCAAGACGCGAAGCTCCGCAATACCAGGAGTTGCATATTCTGGAGTGGAAGTGTCCAGCTTTTGTTCTTCGAGTAGAAGGTGTAATCCAATGAAAAAGGCCCAGACTGCACTGTGCGAATCCTCTGTATTCTGAAGGATTGCTGATGATAACGCATATGCAGTTCTTGGTAAATCCCCTTCGATGCTTGATGCGAGGTATGCTTTGGTATACTGAATGTGCGTTGGCAGAAATTTGCAATCAACAAAGTCGCCCTTGGTGTCTAGATCATCGTCATGGTCCGCAGTCCAGTCCCAGCCTCGGTTCTGCTGCCATATTGGGCAGCCAAGGGCATTGGGTGTCTCATGCAGCTGCAAAGAGCGCCAGTCCTCGATGTTGTTCATGGAACCAAATGAGCCTGAAGGGGGTCGTCTGCGACCCTTGACCGGCCTCTGTGGAGCCGGGACGACTGCCTCAGAGCCTCCTAAGACAAGGAAGATAGACATAATATGAATAACGAGGGCCGACCATTCGGTATCCGCCACCTGCATATCTTCTGCCTGTAGCCACATCATGGCTTGCCACCAGCCTGGTAATATTTTCTTGGATTGAGACGAGGGCAGAACGCTGCGGCATGCATCAAGAACCTTACGAGCCAAAGGGTTGCGGGGTTGCAGCTGGATCTGGATTTGGTGATGACGCCTCTCAGCGTCCACAACATCTACAATGCCACCCATGCGAGAGTATCGAAGGGCACGGATGATGCCATTCGCCGTATCCAGTGCTTCAGACCTTCGCTGTCGTACGTCTCGATCGATGACACGGCCGATGTATTGTAGGCTGCGCTCGTTCTCGAGCAGCAATCGAGGAAGAGTAATGGGTGTTTTCTCCAGCCATGGCGCCTGAATACTGAGCTCGCGCCGTCCATCATTGCCTTCGGATAGTATGAGTATCGCCGAAAGATCGCCATCCACAACTTTACAAGCATCAACAACGGGATGTGCTCGTCGTAGCTGGCCACAGGTAATTCGAAGGGCGTTCGAGTGAACTTCAGGAAGTTGGGATGATCGGGGTGGAACTGATCGGGGTGGAACGAGGAATTGCCCACCCTTGTGTATGTCGATTGTAAGAAGTTGCAACTTCTTATCCACTGCATCTTGGATGCCAAGTATGAGCTCGCTCCTCTGATTATCATCAACGGAGAGCTTGGGACTCGAAAGAATAAAGACACCGCTCTGGTACCGCGCAGGCTGACTCGATACGGAGTAACGAACGTTGGAGCTGTCAATATCAATGGTGTGTACCTTTGTGAACACCACTTCTTGTGCCAATCCGTCACAGTCGTGATCATCTAGACCCATGCTGTGAAAGCCTTCAAAATCACCTCCTGCTCGCAACTCGTCAAGAACATTGTCGATGGGAGCTTCGAGTAAGCTACCTAAGCTAGGGTGGATGGTCTGGTTGTAGTTGAGAGAGTGGCGGCCTCCTTGGGTGCCAAAAGAGTCCCTGATCGAGCTGCCGAGATTTGGCATCAGCTGCTGTTCTGAAAAGGCGGATCGTTCTTGTGACGCGGAAAGATCAGCACGAGCTAACATGGAGCTGACTCTGCGTGACTGTCTTCGAGTGGCGCCTCCGTCTTTATCCGCATTTAGAGAGCTAACAAGATCAAGTGGCTTGTCTGATTTTTCAGTCCTCTCAAGCCTCTCAAGTCTTTCGCTTTTCCTCTGCCGCTTCCCTGGCAAGGGCGCGCCAAAGCTTTCCCTGAAGTTAACCTGAATCGGTGTAGAAGCCCCACTGGCAAACTGTGGCTGCATCGAGCTGCGGCGTCTATTTGCTGCGATATCGCTCTTCTTGCTCCTCTGAACAGGATCATCGCCGTTCTTGTTGTACGATAACCTCCATAAGGTGTACGTATTTGCTTCTCTATTGACTGTAACGGCAAGGATAAGTGGGTCATTTTTCGGCGGCTGTAGTAAGCTTGGAAGCTGTATTTCCTCGATGTAAAGAATCTCTTCGGCGGGGTCTAGAAGATATGGCGACTTGGAAGTTCCTCTTCTTGTTGCTGCCCGTTGCGCTGATTGAGGATCTGTAACGACGAGACCGATATCTTGTAGTGGGTCAACCAGAGTCACCAGCCTCGGCCACTTAGACTGTGAATTCCCTAGGGGGACCTCCCACATATCTTCCAGTGTCGAACCCAGATTAAGAGGTAGGCTTCTCGGGTTTCCCAAGCCTTCTATCGAAAAAGTGGTTTGCTGTGAACCCTGTAGAGATGGGGCTGTGATCTGGGAGGAAACGAACGAGTTTGGAGGAACCTTGGGGAACTTGAGTGATACCGGTATGTTGTTCTCAGTGTAATGCTTCCTTTGTATGATGACGCCCTGCGGCGCAGCGCAGGCGGCCTCAACCTCAAAAGGCATATGGATAACATGGCTGGCCCCTGAGACAAAATGAAGATGGGCTTGGGTTTTGAGAAATACGATCAAAGCCTTGGACGGCTTCTTGGAGATTTCCGGTGATACTGAAGACCTCTTCTTGTTCTTGGGCTTCCGTAGCTCATCATATGCGGGGAAGTATGCCAGCAGTGCCTGCGTGATGGGTTCGTTCTCGAGGTCAAATTTGAATGACTTTCGAAATATTCCACCTCGGCTCCATACGACACACGTCTCGGTTACGAGAAGTTCGTCTTCCACAGCGGGCGTATCGCGCTTGTCGGTGTTTATTTCCCAATGCAATGCAGAGAGGTTGGTGCTCTGCGGAAGACCGAGTTCCTCAATTGTACGATGTAGTGCGGTCGGTTGGTGCAGTCCAAGAGACTTTACCGACGCCATGGTGGATGGGCTCCATAAGCAGCGTCGGATATGTGCGTCAGATATTTCGGGAGACTTGGGAATCGAAAAGGACGTTTCAACTCGATATTCGTGCTTAGACGTTGTTGTGGTGGATCGGTGATGCTCGTTCTCATGGAACGCGTTGAACGCGCGACTGCTGCTTCCTTCCCACCTTCACAGAGACATACTTATTTAGGTACTTCAGGTGGAAGGGAGCTTGCGGGGTGGTGGGGGTGTCTCTAATTGGCCCGGAAGCTAGACGACGCCCCAGTCTACTCACTGCTGACCTAAGTTGAGTTGGTGCAGCAGTACGAGTCAACAGGAAGCTTGGGCCACTCAATCAAGATGAACGTGACGTCAAAACACGCTGCCTGCATACCTAGGTATTTCAACCAGAGTCGCCAGTCCAGAGTCATGAGATTTGAGCAGGATCAGGAGCCGTTTACAACCAGCCTGAACACCAAATCAACATGACAACACTGTTGCATTCCGTATCATCGACAAAATGACGAACGTATCGCCCGTTTGGCGGGACGACGATACTCCTCAGATGGACGCCAATCCACTAGCCGAACCGGACACTGATCTGGACAAACATGTGTATAAGGGAAAAGGGCGGGCCGGCGACATCGTCGACGCTATTGGCACCGATATTGAGGCCTCAACATCGAGATTTACCACCAAAGAAGATGCTCATGGCGACGAAGAGGGTGACAGAGACAGCGAGAACGACGAAGATGAGGACGAGGAAGACGAAGATGAAGACGAAGACGAGGACGAGGAGGAAGACGAAGATGAGGAGGATGAAGAACCAAGACTCAAATACGCTCGCTTGACACAACATCTTGGTCCTGTTTATCGCAACGGCGATGCTACAAGCGCTTTTCTAGTGGCTGGCGACAAGATGGTAAGTGTACTATACAAACAGCGCTTTGTATTACTGCTAATATTATTTGCTCAAGATCATTGGAACACATAACGGCAACATAGTAAGTGTAAGAATGCGTGGTTCCAATTTTGCTCTAACCATGCGCAGCACATTATACAATTACCAATGTTCAGACCCTTCGCGTTTACCACGCACACTCGGCGTCTGTTACCGGGATCTCGATATCTCCTTATCCCCCGCCACTGCCAACAGACAAAACCGAGAAAATCTTGAAAGCCACCTCCCAGAACATGACGGGTGTGCCAAGGCCGGAGTCACGACATTCAGAGGCTTCTCCAGCATCTACTTCGCGTCGATCAAGAGAGCCGCACTCAATCCCGAACACCCCTTCCAATAATATCCATATCGCGACGTCATCCATGGATGGTAATGTTTGCGTACAAAGTCTGGTTGATTTGAGGGATGTGCAGTTGCGCAACTTTGCGAGGCCTGTACAGACGGTCGCCATCTCTCCGGACTTCAGAAATGACCGAACATACCTCTCAGGGGGCACTGCAGGGCAGCTTATACTCACTGTTGGCGGTCCCACTGGCCGCAGTACCTCGACAACTATTGGCACTGCAGCGGCTGCGGCATCGGGCTGGCTAGGTAGTATGGGACTTGGGACAAACACTGGCCGTGACACCGTTCTGCACTCAGGGGAAGGCACAGTGAGTAACATCAAATGGTCCTTGTCTGGTAAATATGTCGTATGGCTCAACGAGACTGGAGTCAAAATCATGCGGAGCAATTCGCAACTACAAACCACGGATTCTGACGACGCATGGAAACGCATTGGGCATGTTGATCGACCGCAAACAGACGAGTGGGAGGCCATGGCTGGTGTATGGAAAGGAAGGGTCGAGTGGATTGACGAACAGGCTGTCGAAGTGGATGACGAACCGGGTCGTGAGGATGCGGCTCCGTCAATAGTTGGCGAGAACTCTCAGCAACGAAAAATTCTGATCACCAAGAAGATCGAACGGCTCATCGTTGGCTGGGGTGGCACCATCTGGATAATCCATGTACACCCTGGTGGCATTGGTACGGGCCTAAATGCCGGCGAGAAGTCTATTGGGCGTGCAGAAATCGCTAAACAGTAAGTTCTGTTTTTCATGGTACTCGGAGGGCGTGCTAACAGTTCTCCTAGTCTCCGTATGGACTGTACCATCTCCGGCATATCGCTATACAGCCAAAATCTCCTCTTGGTGCTCGCTTATGGCCACCCGGAAGGCGAAGACGATGGCGACGACGAGGAAGAACGCAGACCAAGGAGCCAACACCACAAATACCACTCATCCGCCGCTTCGACAGGTACAGTGAGTAGTGAGCCATCAGGTGGCATCCGAAGACGACAAAACAATCCGCCACCTGAGCTGCGTCTGATCGATTTGGCTTCACAATCCGAAGTTGACAAAGACGATGGCCTCATAGTCAGCCGGTACGAGAGGCTTTCGTCAGGAGACTATCACCTCGGCGTGCTCCCTGCTCGCAATGCTGCTTCGGCTGTGGCCTCTTCAAAGGGCGCTCTGGAATCCTTGGCCGGTTTTGGCAACGATGTGTGGAATGCTGCTATCAATCCCAAATCACTGTTCAGTTCGGGAGTTAGCATCAAGTCTAAAAACAGCAATGACGGAGGCTCGAGCAACGCTGACAGTATGAAACCGGGACTTTCACGCGCGGCAGTGCCGTCCGTACATTCAAATCTCCTCAAACCAGGGTCCAAAATCTTTATCCATAGCCCCTATGATTGTATTCTTGCTACGAAGAGGGACCTTGGGGATCACTTGAACTGGCTTCTGGAGCATCATCAGTACCAAAAGGCCTGGGAGCTATTGGATGACAATCCTGACATTATGGCACCGTCGCCTCCCAAGCTTGGCGAGGTTAGACCACCAACACCGGATAAGATCAACACGGCCGCAGAAGCAGTGTTCGACGACGCGTCGTCTGTGGTCGAGTCGGTTACCGCAGCAAGACAAGCCAACTCGACGGCTCAAAAAGAGAAGCGACGCATTGGCGAGCTCTGGATCCGAGATCTCGTTGAAGCCGGCGACTGGGTGGCAGCGGGACAAGTCTGCGCCAAAGTTCTGGGATCATCTGATAGATGGGAGAAGTGGGTTTGGAATTTCGCAAGCGCTAACAAGTTTGACGATATTGCACACCACATTCCAGCGAAGTCGATGCACCCTCCACTTTCTAGTGCGATATATGAGGTCGTCTTGAACCACTACATTCAGGCGGACAAGGTGCGATTCAGAGATTTGCTGGACAGATGGCCCAGTGAACTTTTCGACATCAATACGGTCACAACGGCTTTGGAGAATCAGCTCAAGTATCGCGATGTGAGGGAGGATAGTGTCGAAGCTGGCGAGAGGGGTCGTGATTGGCGCATCGTCATGGAGTCGCTGGCAAAATTGCATGAGCTGAACGGCCGATACAGGGAATCGCTCAAGTGCCACATCAAGCTACAGGACGCGGACTCAGCCTTCCGGATGATTCGAGAGAACCACTTAGCAGATGCCGTGGTCGACGATATCCCAAGTTTTATCGGCTTAAGGGTACCCTCTCACGAGCTTGACAAGATGAGTGAGTTTGATCTCGAGGAAGCTACGTCTGAGGCCATCACATTACTTGTCGACGAAGCACAGCACGGACTTGTCCGGCCAGCAACCGTAGTGACACAACTTGAGGAAAGAGATCTCACTCTTTTCCTTTACTTCTACCTGCGGGGCCTGTATAAGGGTGAAGGCATCGAGGAACATACCGGCGAGAATCGTGAAAGACTGCAGCAAGAGAGCAAGTATCTGGTGGACGACTTTGCCGATAAAGCTGTTCAACTTTTTGCTAAGTATGACCGATCGATACTCATGGACTTCCTCCGCTCATCCACTTCGTACGCATTCGAGAAAGTGAGTTTGTTCACCTCTTATCAGACAATGACGACGCTTAAGGACTAATTAAAATAGGCGACACAAGAATGTGAGCGGTATCGATATGACGACGAGTTGGTCTATTTATATTCCAAAACAGGTCAAATGAAACGAGCGCTGTTTCTCATTATCGACCGGCTCAAGAACGTCAAGAAAGCAATTGAATTCGCCAAGGAACAGGACGATCCCGATCTGTGGAGTGATTTGCTTGATTACAGTATGGACAAGCCAAAGTTCATTCGCGGACTTCTCGAACAAGTTGGCACATCCATCAATCCGATTACGCTAGTTCAACGAATACCTGAAGGCCTCGAAATCGAAGGATTACGCGAGGGTCTTGCTCATATCACGAAGGAGCATGAGATTCAATTCAGCATCAGCTTAGGCGTCGCGCGTGTCCTCCGCAGTGAGGTTGCCGCAGCGCAGAATGAATTACGCATCGGCCAACGTAAGGGCATCAAATTCGAGGTTGAAGCGCAGGGACAATATCACGTTGATTTGTCTGTGCAAGAGGTAGCAGCACCACCTGTCAAGGCCGAGGAGGTTGAGCAAACGCTTGAGGACGATCACACAACGGGAAAGGACGTTCAGTCGCCAGTACATGCCAACTTCCAAGGACCTCCCAAGCCAGGCCACTGTGCTCAATGTCAAGAGGCTTTCACGGACTTTGAGATGGAGACCTTGATTGGGTTCGCGTGTAGCCATGTTTTTCATTTGTCGCATTTGTTAGAGGCTCTATACCCCGGAAAGAAGCAGGAAGTGGACTTGGGTGCTGATGTGGCTGATCGACCTGGCCATGGCTGGCGTGTTGGACCTAAGGTGACGCATGCGCGGCTGATGAAAAATAAGATCCGTGAAGGATGCCCAGTATGTAAGAGACCTAATTAGAGTAATCGTTAGAGATCTCTGCAAGGACTCGGACTCTGTACCTGCTCCACTGCTGTTCATAGCCAGCGTAATCGAATCGCGTGGAAACATGTAGTCAGTGAAAGCTGAACCCCATTCCTTAGCTCTTATTCGTGTCTTGACCCGTTTATTTGGAAGATTGGAGAGCTTTCTACCCAAGTAATACTACCGCTATCGATTTATTAGTAAGTAGACCGAAACACGGCCTCAGCAGTGTGGGGCCAATTGTGCGCTCAGAACCCCCCTCGGCAGACGCAGACAGCTCCAAAGGATCGAGGTCGCGCCTTCCACCTATCACAGGTATAGCACCTTTTCCCTTAATCCGGCTGATAGTCAGACAGCAATTGTCCTCCGAGAGCCCGTTGACAGGAAAGGCCAGCTCAAGACTGCAAGATAAGAGGATATCTGGATTCGGATACAAACCGAGTTGCAAGTACTAACAGACCTCTAACGTGACGAATAGCTGAGCTGACGGTACTCAGACTCGAGGCTAACGAGCTTGTCGAAACACAGAGTATGGATAACATCCTGGGAAAAGACATCTAAAGAAACCAACTTAGGTCTGCCGGACCTAAGATAATATACGAGCACGGTAACATCGTCTCCGTAATAGGAAGGACTTCAATATTCTTAACTAGATGCATAGCCTACTATAACAACCAAGGAAGCAGGTTGGCCGCGAGTCGCCGACCCCGCGGTCAGGGAACACGATAGGATAAGAAACGGACCCACCAGGCCGGGCACGTGATGGCTCACCCAGGGACAGTAGTGAGTCGGGGCTCACCCGCAACATAATAGTGAGCCAGGAGCTAGCTCACCAGCTAATATACTATGATCCTAATATCATGTATCACTAACGACTAATAAGTGAGCTATCCAATAGGAGCTCACCACCTAATAATAAAGGGCAGGATAGACGGGTATGTAAGGACGGACATTCTGTACTTGTAGATACATTCTTTCTCACGATAGTGATTAATCTAAGTCTTACCTTCTATTCATTGTAACGAGTGCGCAACGCCTTACGACACCACATCGTCTCAGAGTCATAACCTAAGCTTCTGCTAACAGTAACCCTAACCCTCTGACAGTGTTTCCCCTTCGGAAGCTGCCAGGTCGTAACAAGTACGAGTTTACCTAATATCCGTTCCCCTAATTAGCTACTCCTTATTACCTTATCGCTAAGCTACGTTAATATAACCTACCTAATTTTGTTACTTAACGAATCTCCTTTAGATAATATAAGATAGGTTAGCTTAGAAGACTAGAAATAGAGGTAACGAATTCTATAGATCTTCACCCTATAGAATAAATATAGTAGATAAGTAGTTAAGTAGGCTCTAATTCATAATAAGGAGTAAGTAATTATAGAGCCCTGATTAATATTAGGGGAGATTTATATATTTAATAAAGGTTCTATATAACGGCCTATACATTAAATTCTTTCAAAAGGTTAAGAACTAATAGAGAATAGAAATAAATAGGTAAAGGTAAAAAGGTATAGGAGAGAGGAAAATGATTATATCTCTTGAGGGTAGTATTGGGCCGGTAAATGTATTTGGGATCCTAGTAGCCCTTGGTTTTAGTTATAGAATGGTATTATTTTCGAATAAATAGGATAGAGAATTAAGGAGGGGGCTCGGATTAATCTAAATAGAAGTAAGGGCTATTATAGAAAGTATCCTTTACAAATAGTAAAAGATGTATAAATTAAATAAGAATTACTATTCAAGGGCATGCAACAAGTATAACTAGAAATAACTATATAATACGCATAGAGATGGCTACGGCTCTAGTCCGGCTAGTAATAGAGTCGGGTCTTAGGGACCAGGCAAGCCTAACGCCAGGAACACATAACAGATGCTAGGTAGCTGTTCTGTAAGTGTAAGATAGATGAATTCCTCTACCTGGGTTGGAAGGCCACATAAGCATATAAATAGATAAGGGGGCACGGGCGTACAAGTCAGGCCACGTGCCCCAGGCAGTTAGGCCTCAGGCAGGGCCACAGGCCAGGCCACGTGCCAGGCCACAGGCGGCCCTCAGGCACGGCCACAGGGCAGGGCCTTCCACCTAATTGTTCGTAATACTATGTATTAGATATCGTGAAATATAAAGAATAGCCTAGGGGAATTAATTTATATATAAGAGACTAACCCTTATAGTCTTAGCTTGAATAGAGCTAGTAGGCTACCTAAGGACCTATAGGCAAATAGAGACGATTTTCATCTAGCTTGAATACTAACTTGATAAGATATAAGAGGAGTTAAATAATAATTAATATAGGATAGCGCTATAAAGTATAAAGAAGAGTATATTATTATATAGTCTTACTTTTCCTCTTACTAATAATAAATATATAAATATAGTTTAGCTTTTATTTAAGTTATAAGAGGAGTTATATGACTATTAGTCCCTATGATTAATAGGCTTAGTATATTATTAAGAGGTTATTTAAGGTATATTAATTAATCTTAGGGCTAAGCTATTAAACTTATATAAAGATTTAAGTAAAAGGACTAGATTTATTAAAAGTGAAGACTATAACTTATATAAATTAGGATACTAAAATATTATTTTATAATATCTTATTATTTAAAAAGCTTTTATTTATATTAACCTTTATTTAATAGTATTCTAACTTATAATCTACTATTAATTATATCTTAAAATAATTATTAAACTAGCTAAGTATATTTATTAATCTATCTAGAATAGAGATATAATTATAGTTCTTAACTCTATTTTATTAATTTAACTAATACTAAAGAAGTAAAGTAATTAAGAGAAAGCCCTACTTCGCCTCGATTTCCTCAATAACTTGGCACCTGGTGCTGCGATATAGAGGCGTTGAGATGGGTAGAGAGGAGAAGGGGAAGGCGGAAGAGGGGGGGAGATGGAAGAGCGAGTCCATGCCTGGGCACCTTGACTCTTGCAGACCTCCTTGTCGTCTCGCCGCGTCTTCGCTGTGCGTTGCAAGGCAAACACGGCCGCCTACGGCGTCCGCTGCCGCGGACTACGCGCCTGCGGCGCGGGATCTTTCAGGGGGCCCCTCTGGGGCCCGAGAGATTTTTTTTCTCAATTCCCGGGTAGGAGGTGTCTGGAAGTGGCCAGAGACGACCCAAGTCCTACCATCTATGGAGGTGGTGGGATTTTTTGGCGTCAAGGTGGACAGCTACCCGGGAATTGGACCTGAAAACTGGCCAAGTCGGACAGCTACCCGGGAATTGGAACCAATGGTGACGCTGGCAGCTACCCGGGAATTGGAACCAATGGTGACGCTGGCAGCTACCCGGGAGTTGGCCGAAAAGCGACCAAGTCGGACAGCTACCCGGGAATTGCGAGCTACCCGGGAATTGGGAATCTGGAGAACGGATTTTGGGTAGTTGGCTGCAAGACGGCCAAGTCAGACACCTGGGAGCTACCCGGGAGTTGAGGGCTACCCGGGAATTGGGGGCTACCCGGGAGTTGGGAGCTACCCGGGAGTTGGGAGGTGCTACCCGGGAATTGGGGGACGAATTCGCCGATTCCTCCACCACCTGGCCGTTTCCCGCTATTCTTTCTAGCGTACTGGAAAGAGCGTATCGTGTTTAGTGTATTTCACCCTTGAAAATATTATATGTACTTTAGTATTATTTGTTTTAGGTTTTGAAAGTCTGCTTGTAATGTACTGGTATTCTTATTGGGTTTCTGGTGAGAAATCGTACTACTCTGCGAAAACGGTAGAACGCTAAAACAAATGCATTGCAATCGAACAGGCATACTCGGATTACCCTATGACTAGTCGTGCATCGCTGCAGCAGCGTTGCGGCGGCCGTGGTGGTGGAATTGAGGTTGTGGCGAGCTACCCGGGAATTGGGGGCTACCCGGGAATTGGGCAATATCGAGGCGCCGACGACCCTCAGAACGGCGCAGGGCGGCTGCAGCCCACTGGGGCGTGCGTGGGCACCTGTGGCCATTTGGCAGAGTTGGTTCCGTGTGAGCCATGAAAAAAGTTGTCAAAATCCGTTCTCCAAATTTTCCCATAATCAGAGTGGGGCCCTCACCAAAAAAGATCAACGACTTTCGGCTGCAGCGGCGTGCCCACCAAAAACAGGACCCAGGGTATGTAAGAAGGGGAAAGCGAAAGCAGAACCCGGGCGGGCGCCTCAGTGCGTCTTTCAGTAATGAGAATCCGCCGAACACTGTTCCATATCATATCGAACGCTATTTAGTGCCCCTGTTACGAGCCTACCGGTTCAAGGGGCTACCGAGCAGCGTTCAACCTCCACGGAGGTAGCCGCCCAGGCGGTCTACCAAACTGGAGTTGCCTTACGGCGCTGAGAGGTTCGCCTCTACAGCGACGCAAGATGGGCTCTGTGGGTGACTGGCCGTTGGCCAAACCTACTTCTAGAGCAGCGGGAGACGACGCGCGTGGTGGAAGCCGACCAGCTGACGCCGCGTGCCGGGCTCTCCTCTCGGGGCGCTCTAGCCTCGCACTCCCCGCCTGCGGTGGATGCTGCGTGGTGAACGGTGCCCTGGGGAATTCAGAGGGGTAAGGTGGATGCCGTTAGCGGGCCTCGCGGGCTATGCCTGAGTTGCCTGCCGGCGGTGCGTTCCTAGCGAACGTGACACCGGTGACTAAATATCTCTTCGGTGGTGCTTCGGCGCCCCGATGGCCATCCCCGGCGCACGATAGTTACCTGGTTGATTCTGCCAGTAGTCATATGCTTGTCTCAAAGATTAAGCCATGCATGTCTAAGTATAAGCAATTACAAAGCGAAACTGCGAATGGCTCATTATATAAGTTATCGTTTATTTGATAGTACCTTACTACATGGATAACCGTGGTAATTCTAGAGCTAATACATGCTGAAAATCCCGACTTCGGAAGGGATGTATTTATTAGATACAAAACCAATGCCCTTCGGGGCTCTCTTGGTGATTCATGATAACTTCTCGAATCGCACGGCCCCGCGCCGGCGATGGTTCATTCAAATTTCTTCCCTATCAACTTTCGATGCTACGGTATTGTCCTAGCATGGTTGCAACGGGTGACGGAGGGTTAGGGCTCGACCCCGGAGAAGGAGCCTGAGAAACGGCTACTACATCCAAGGAAGGCAGCAG